GTGCTTTTTAAAAAAAAAAAAAATAAAATTTTTTTAGTTGTAGATAGACACAATATCTTTATTTTATTTATTTTTATGTGGTGCTGAATATCGAACCCAGCACCTCACACGTGCTAGTCAAGTGCTCTCCCAATGGGCTCTAACCTCAGCCCTGAGCATGTGCTTTTCATTGCAATGCTGTTGTGTGGTGTGGGCTTCTTTCCATGGTGGCGGTCCATAACGGATTCTGGATGCATTTTGCCGCTTGTCCTTTCCTTCAGGCTGACATTCTTTGGTGCCTTGGTGGTGACATCACATTCTTGCTAAGCATACATTGAAGTTAAAAAACGAAAATTTGCAATGGTGACTTAGAAGTGAGGAAATGTAGATTCCGTGGAGAAAACCCACTTGAATTGTGGGACCTGATAAAAACTCACATTACCACCAGATGGACACAAACCCTGCTTTTACAGATTACCGGGAGCCGATTAACAAGGACACCTTTACCATGTTTTCGTGTGATTTAGAGAAGTAACTCCGACAGTGAGGATTTCTAAATTATTATCTGTAATAACAAACCCAGTAGCTTATGGAAAAACTATCACTAAAGAAAACTATTTAAAATATATCAGGTGGTAATAAGGGTGAAATTTTAGATAACAAGAGAAGATAATTTTTCTTTAGGCAGAAAAAAATAAAATACCTGGCGCAGATTTCTCTTTGACAGAGTGACCTGCCAGAATGCCCACTCGGCAGCCCATCTGATAAAGGTCAAGGCGGGAACACCCCTAAGCTGATTCCTGCAGCACCTGCCCTACCAAATCAGCTACAGCCTCTTCTCGGTCCACCCTGCACTGTTTTCTCAAAGTCTGAAGAATAATAAACTAAGTTTCCTGACGCCATGTGTGTGTGTGTGTGTGTGTGTGTGTGTGTTTTTTCTCTTTTCCACACTGGAGAGTAAACCGTGTTGTTGTGAAAGTCAATGAAGAAAGACTGTCTGTTTTCCTCTGCTTTTGACCCTTTTTAAAAAAAACACTACAACAAAACTCTGTCACTTCTAAACTGAGAAGGAGACAGGAAATAAAAACGGAATTAACTTTTAAACAGCCTTTGAAGAAGCGTGATGACGTGCATGGTGGTTTTATTACTGTGCCAAATTTGGGTTTACAAGGTAATCAGTACTTGCCAAATTACTGCCTTTGGTTGATTATCAAGTGGTACAAGACATGGCAAATCAAATTCCCCAAAATATATAGTCCTCAACACATTTTTTCTGGGTATTATTATTATTATTATTGAAATAGCAGGTATAAAACTTAAAGCAAGTTTTGTGAGTATCCACTTCCCATTTGTGCGTGTGCACGTGTGTGGGTAGCATAGACTGAGCAGGATCAATCTACTTCCTCTCTCACAGCTGTGCTCAGTACCAACGCTTTCATGCCGTGGGCTGCCCTAAATTTTCTGGCTTGGTGCTGCCTCCGATTAGACAAAGGGGAAGGGTCAAGACACAATAGCAGGGTAATGGAATTGGCCTCAAAGCCCAGCTTCATCCAGTCCCTTGATTTTTTTTTAAAGTGGTTTGTTTTTTAGAAGTGTCTGACATGAACTATAAATCATGATTATTTTCATCATTCAATTGGCCTCGGAGAGATTTTGCTTTAAAGAGACAGCACAGTTAGAGAATCATGACCTCTGAACTCAGAAGCCCAGAACTCTGGAGCTGGAAGCAGCCAGACCTGAGCCCATGAAGGTCCAGGGAAGGTCCCCTGGTGCTTGTGAGAGCAGTAGAGTCTGCCTGCTGTGTGTGTGTGGTCTTCCCTCTCTGTACAGCAGTCCACTCCCAGCTGCTCTCTCCCTCTTACCACCCTCCTCCCTGGCCTCCCTAAGCTTAGTGCAAGTAAACACTGATACATTAAATGCAAGTAAATTTTTCACTAAGGCCCCCTGTTTTGGGTGATGGCTCCACCGGCTGGAGGTGGGCGGCTGGGGTAGGACCCCCAGTGCCCAGGCCAGCCTGATTATCCTGCCACACTACCCCGCCTCTTCTCCACATCCTCTTCATCTCTAAATGTCTCCCCTCCCTTTCCCATGCCAAGGCTTAAAAGGTTTCAAATACTTCAAAAATAAATGGTTTCTAAATCATCCCAAGATGACTAACACATGAGGTTTTATCACATTTTCCCAAAGCACAATGGCATATTAAGAATTGATTTCATCTTCATCCATATTCTTAGGATATGGAGACATTATCTCAAATGATTACTCCAGAGACAGAGACAAGAATTTTGTACCATTCTACTTTTCAAATCATTTTAGGTTTTATTTCATTTCATTTCACCTAAATCTCTTAGACAGTTATTTCCTTCCGTTTTTTCTCATATCACTTAAAAATTACATTTTATTTGGTCAGGGCCTAAAGAATTGCATTGGAAAACTAAAGAATTATTGAAAAAAATTTTTCACTAGCGCAACAAGGGTGATCAGAAGAAATTGGCTAATTTCACTGTCTTTCTTTGGGCTCTTCATAGAAAATGACTGAAATGTGTCTGCCATAAATAACTGTCACTCGGAAACTGATTTAAAGCTGTAGCAGGGGAGAAAAGCTACTTTGGAAAAATTAAATCTTAGACTTGAGGATATTAAAAAGTACTCCCCAAAATCTCATGCCCAGGGGATCAAAGACGTTGGCCCTCTCTGAATTCAGCCATTAGATGTGAAGGAAGAAAGCTGGTATGTAGAATAGACTCTGGCTTCCTTGAGCCATTTTTTATATTATTTTATATAAATTTATATTATTTTCTTGTTAATAATCCCTATTATTTCTATGGGAGAAATTGCACATTTCTGTTCTCTGTTGGATGCACCACCCAGAATGTTGGGTTCTCAGTGGGTCAGAATATCAGGAACTGTACAGCTCTGAGGCCACATGTCTCTTCCGCCTGACTGGGCCCTGTGCAGTCTTGCCCTTGACATAGCTCTGCACACTCTCATTCCTTCAAAGAGCTGGAGCTCCTGGCCTCTGCCCATCTCTTTCTGCAGCCAGAGCCCCTCTACTGAGGTGCACACTTTCACCTGGCTGCAGGCTTCTACCCACAAGCAGGGGCCTCCCCTAGGACATGCATGACGGGTATTAACAAAATGAACGAGTGCACCCATGGGTGTGCCATGCGAGGGCTCTAGCATCACCAAGCACACGTGACCACAGCAGCTTTAAACAGTGTTACGTGCTCCAGTGTGTGTGTGGGGGGTGCAGGTCATCAGGCAAGCTGGACCCGGAGAGCTACAAGGAGACAGGAAAGAAGAAAGGGAAGGTGCAAGTGGAAGAGAGAAGAAAAAATTAGAGAAGGAGTTGGGACGTCAAAGGGAATTAGGAGAGGAGAACTGGAACGCAGCCAAGAGAACTCGAGTCTTGAGCCTCCCTCACTTCAGTGAAGGAAGGTACCAATAAAGGGAGCGAGAAGGACAGAGATGCATCGACTGGATTTCTGGCTGGGTCTCACCCACTCGCTAGTCTTCCTCCTTTCTTTTTGCTGACACAGTTCTACTGAGCCCTGTGTACAACTTCTGTTACTTTCACTGGGAAGCTGTGTGTCCTGATGGGAGCCCTTACATATCATAACACTTCAGGACATCTCATTAAAATCGCTTCTTGGCTTCTTATCCTCTGGAGAGTTCACTTCACAAACGCAGGACCACACCACGGTCTCTCTTTTATCACAGTAGCCCCAGCACCTAGCAGAATGACCCTGCTCATAATAAACATTTAGCTAAACATTTGCTGAGAGTCTGGAGTTTGGGATCCGGCACTCCAGTTCTCTGGACTGTAGTCCCTCATTTGCACCATGAGAGAGTTGGTCTAGTTGATACGGGAGACCCCCACCAGCATCGATCCTCTATGGTTTTGTACTTCCCTGGCTTTCTGCCCAATGCCAGGAGCGATTTAACTCAAGAAGACAAGGCTGTTGCCTGCAAGGACATTGGAGACCTTTTAAGCCAAACCGTGACTGCTGGGGAGACGGCTCATACAGGACCTTGAACGAGGCCTGGGAACTCAGACCAGCCCTCATTAGCTGGGAGAGACAGGAGCAGCTGACTCTTGCTCTGGGAAGAAGTTGCCTGTAAGTCTCTCCTGGGCCTGAAGATGTGCTGGTGAGACTTGGCAGGCTCATTACAAAGGTGTTTGCGGGCTAAGAGTAAAGGAGAAGGATGCGTTATGTGTATGTGCACGCATTCCTCTGTGTAGCTAGCGTTTATTCCATTGGCAAACATTAAGTGCATTCTTGAGCAAAGTGCTAAAGTGATAAAAAAAAAAAAAATCAGGCCTCAAGGATCATGCTATTGGATTGGGGAAGAAAGGCATCTTCCCAAAGAAAATATGGCAAAGACAATGTGAAGTGAAAGAGACAGGCCCTCCTCCCTCCTAGCAGTCCTCTCCTGTTGGATTTCCTATGAGGATTTAAGAGGAAAGAAATACCACTTACTGCTGCATCATTTGGGAAGGAGGGGAGGTTTGAGCTGGGCCTTTCAGCATGGCAGGATCTGGACCTGTAGAGTGCGGGAGTGTCATTCCAGGTGAAAGAAGAGGCGCAGGAGGGTGGAAAGCCCTGGCACCCAAGGGGAACGTGAGTGAGTTCCGCTGCAGCAGGTTATATGAAGCCAGCCCACGGCAGACCGGTGTGGAAACAGGCTGTGCCAGGCTGCAGGCATCTAGACTTTGCCCACAGGAGATGTGGAACCCCGGCAGGTATCTGAGAGGGTGCTGGCCAGCTCTGGGCTTCAGGGAGAGAGTCATGGCAGTGGTGGGGACCGGCTTGGGAGCTGGGCAGCCAGGAGCCAGCAGGGTCAGTTGGAAACTTCTCAGGGCCAATTGGAAACTGAGGTTTGGGCTGGGGCTATTGATTTATAGAAATGGGTGGAGTCAGGGGGAGAGGAGAAGGGGCTAAAGGTGGGCTTCTGACAAATAGCAGGAGGAGCAAGTCCTACCGCAGAGAAGGTCCTCAATGACAATAAGTCTCCAGAGAGCTGGGGTATAGCTCAGTGGCAGAGTGCTTGCCCACCATGCACGAGGTCCTGGGTTCAATCCCCAGTACCAGTTGTTCCCCCCCCCCCCAACAAAATAGAACACCCCACATATAATTTAAGTCTACAGAGAAGTTGAGGAAGGTAGAGGAAGGAGAATCTGAAGAAACTTGCTTGAGGAGCCTGGGAAGGTGAAACCTGGTTTCAAATGGTGAGAATGCGTCCCAGGGCCCAGGAGGTGGGGGAATGGAGAGGAAAGGCAGGTGTGTTGGGAGTGAAGGTAGATTCATGCTCACGGCGTGGGGTAAGTTGTGGGGGGCAGTCTTGGGGGATAAATGGCCTCAGTTTGCCTTTGGATTCAAATTGAGGCTGTTCACCTGGGCTTCCGCGGGCGTCCCGCGGTGGCCTCCTCCTGCCTGTCTCTAGCCCCAGCTCCCACTCTCCCTGCTGCCCTGGGCATCTCCTGCATTTTCTCAGGCCTGCCAAGAGGGTCCCGGCCTGGGCCCTGTTCCAGCTCCTCCATCTTCCTTCAGTTTCTTACCTGGTCAGCTCCTCTGTGTCTTGCAGGTCTCGCTTGGAATTCATGAAGGACTTCCTGACCAGGCAGTCTAAGAGGGCCACCCAGTGTCTATCACATGGCCTGTTTTCCCGTCTCTGAATTGTATGCATCACCCCTTGATGTTTTTGTTTGCCCCTTTATCAGTGTCTGGTCTCTCTCTCTTCCAGAGGTGTAAGCTTCATTGGGGCAGAGACCTCTTCTGTTCATGACAGTATTCTTTACACCTGGCACGCGATAGGAGTTCAATTAAATGTTTGCTGAATGAAGAAATGAACACCGTTTTCATCAATATATGAGAAAGTAAGAGGCAAGTCTAGAGGGGCTGGGGACATAGCTCAGTTGGTAGAGTGCTTGCCTTGCACGCACAAGGCCCTGGGTTCAATCCCCCAGCAACACACACACACACACACACACACACACACACACACACACAATTTGCAACTATATTTTAAAAGAAGATGCAGATTCTTTCAGATTTGAAGAAAATTGAGGAAATTGAGCCATTTTCCATTGAAAATCAGGAAGTAAAATAACATCTAGAAAGCAAGGGGGTAGGGATATAGATCTCTGGGT